GGACCGTTCCGCTGACAGATAAGGGTCTTCATTGAATAACAAAATATAACAAAAATGGTCCAGACAACATATACCAGAGCTTTGGAGGTCTCCTTTGAAAATGCCCTAACACCAATAGTGATGCGTCACATCTTGCCACTAGTATTTTGAAACTAGAATGATTGAGTGATGCTCAATTAACGATGAGACATAATCCTATATGCGTAAGAGATTCATCCCTATTAACTTATTTATCTCAATACGTAAGCATGTCATCTCAAGATAATTATGAATTGGATAAGGGCTGCCTCAACATGCAATCATGCATGTGAAAAGACCACCACAACACTCAATCATGCATGCGAAAATGTTTAGCATTTAACTATTCCATATATTCAAAAAAATCCAACTATACATAATTAAATGTATTAAGTCGTATGTATTTTAAAATTTGGTTTTGATATTAATTTTAGCAACCAATTCACACAGCAACGCCTGGAATATTCTCTAGTGTAGTTACAATAGCCTAATGACCCATCGCAAAAAAAAAAACAATAGCCTAATGACCATTCTCATATTTCTGGTTGCCCATTGAGGTCGCCCCAAATAATCTGATGCGTGGTAACCTACTTCTGGAACAAACCATTTGCGTGCCGTCGAATCCATCGTTTTCACAAGTTGTCAACGAACCAACTGTGAGGTCCTTTCATGTGTCTTTTCCTTTCTTCAAGACTGTGTATTACATACTCGAGTTCAGTGGGAGCATATATATTTCTCCTAGGCAAAGTCGCAAAGTGGAATAGAATCCCGAAGCATCCGCAAAATGTACAATGTCATTTCCAATGCCGATCTCCAAATCTTACGCACATGTCTGAACCAGACGGTTCGGTCGTGTTTTGCATTCAACAAGTGTATCTCGTCCATCCGCCCATCGGTTTGAACATTCTTTTTCCGCAAATCCAAAGAAAACAGGGGAGCAGAGAGACTTTGCGGGCAACCGAACCACTGCTGCGCACACATTTGATAATCTAGACCCGCCCAAAACCCTCTCCCACACTTTCTCTCTAACAGATGCACCGCTCCTTGCGGCTGCATTCATGCCAGCCCTAAGCCGCAGCGGCCGACTTTGATATGAATCAGACGGAAAAGCAGCGCTGACCAATGCGACTAGACGGCCACCGCCGCTTTAAGGTGGTCGTGTTGTCTCAAGAAACCAACTCCGGCTATTGCACTACATTGAAGCGGTTGACCGTCTGTTCGCCTTGCCGCGACTATTTAAGCATAGGGTCGCCGTCGTTCACGTCCACAACACACTCTCAACTCCAAATCCCTGCACCCCTCCGTCGTTCCCCTTTCCCTCCACTCACCCACGATGGGCAAGTTATGGGCCTCAGCATTGGCGGGCAACTCTAGATTTCGCTCCGGATCATGGTGTCACTGTCCTCGCTCTACAGGGTAATCTTGCTCCATGCCGTCCGGCTCCTCCGCGAAGGAGGAGATCATCATCTCCCCCGGCAACGAGAAGGACCAACCACCACAACAAACGCCCGACCTCTCAGAGGACGCAGTGTATGCGGTAACGGATGCCGAGTATGAGGAGGAGATGAAGCTGATGCTCCGGCGTTTGCTCCTCCACGACCTTCGTGCGTGGCTACCACTAGAGATGCTTCTCCACGCTGTCAAGCCGGAGCCTCAGTCGCATCCTCGCTGAAGGGTGAAGACAGAACTTCCCTCCTCCCCTGCTCCCCTTGCGCTACTGCTGTGTCGAAACCGAATGCCATACGAAGCAGGAGCCGCAGTTGCCATTGCCACGTCACGCCAAGGAGGAGCAGCAGTCGCCACCTCCATGCTACGCCGATGCCGTGCTGCTCCCCGCCATCACATTGAAGGCGCACATACCCCACTACCTCGGCGTCAACCTTGGAGGCAGGAGCATCGGAAGTTTGTCCTCTCGGAGTGCCATGACAATGCAGAAATTCATGGACAAGGAGAGGCGGCGGCGGGAAAGGTGCAACGCCTCACGTTGGGAGGAGTTCACGGACTCTGACGTCCTATAGTCACAAATCCGCGATGACCCAAAGCTCGCAACAGCCCAAGCCCCCGACCGGTCGAAGATCACGACAGAGACAAGCAAGCGCCTTCTCTGCCGCCTCAATGAGGATATGGTGAAATACAACGATGAGTGGTCCCTTCGCAAGACCATTGCCGCCACCTCCTCCAACAAGTCCCGCCGCCTGTCTCTCCTGTTGCCCATGTCTGTGATGGCCATGGTCGCACTGCCCGCGGCACTTGAGCAAGCAGAGAAGCAAACCCATTTTACCATCAGACACGGTACCTAATCCGTCCATGGACCAGTTCGGACGTTTGTTTTCCTGCAAATCGGAAGCAAACTAGGGGAGGGGGCTTTGTAGGAGTCTGTACTGCCACCACGTAGGACTTGGACACCACTGGCCCACTCAAATCGCTCTTTGGGTTCACTTTCCTTTGACTTTGCCCCCTCATCCCACTTGCTTTGCATCCACATCCTCCTCGTCACACGCCACCATTGTACCTCTCCGCCCGCCGCCAAGGCATCGTAGGATGCCTGCAACCCTGCCCATTGCGCATTCCCTCCTTGGATTATACCACCGTCCACCTAGGTGCCCTCCACAGCAAGGTACCCTTCGTCCCCCTCCCGGCAACGTTCATGGCAAACACCTCGCCATGACAAGTGTCCGCTCAAATGACATTGAGCTTTTTTGTTGAACTTCTTGATGTTTTCTAGAGTAAAGCACGATTGCGGGGTACTAGGTGATCGAGGATGAGTTGCTGTGTGATGCGTCGTTAGCCATATATGTAGGCTTTGTAGGGAGGAACTCAAGAGGTTCGATCTTTTGGTAGTGCATGTGCATGCTTTACTTCATGCATGAAAGAACTTTGCGCCCTACGACATGCACGTAATCCATCAACGCGATGTGAAGTCAATATCGCATCGATGGTAAACCATCTGCAACTCCGTCACGAGTAGAGAAAATGTGGCCATCGGGCTTGTCAACCATGAAGATCGTAAGTTTTGCTTCCTCTGCTCTACATGTTGGTTAATTCATTCATCATATATACCTAAGAGATTCATCCCCATATTATTTTTTATTT